CTAAATGCCATGGGAATATATATTTTTATTAAGTTTATTATGTTTGTTTTATTAGTTCATTGTTCCCCGTGCATTTTTAAAAATAAAAAACAAATTAACAATTTAGTAAAATTTTTTGAGGACCCCCAMGATACCTTTCACGGACCCCTAGGGGTCCTGGGACCCCAGTTTGAGAACCCCTGTTTTAGACAAACAAAACTGAAAATCATTGTAGTAGTAGACGAAAATTCAAGCTGGCTATCAGCTAACGTTAAATAGATGTATTGAGCTAAAAACATTTTGTGGTGTAGCCAAGACTGACTGTTAATCTATACTAAGGGCTATAATTCAGCCTTTTAAATACACCKCTGAAAATTTATATAGTGGCCGAGAAAATTATTTAACAAAATCTGAACGTAAATTCTAAATCCAAGATGGCCACCAAAGCTAATTTTAAATGRCTATAACTCAGCAATTTTGTATAAATATTAAGCTGAAAAAATTTGGCTTGGTGGTAGAAGTGAGCATTCTCTATGKCATGCTGAAAGGCTAAGGGCTAATGCTAATTTGAGAAAGATATATACTTCAGYCAACTTTAGACATATAATTGTTGCTTTATATTAATTTAGTGGTCTAAATGTTTTTCTTTCTTCACACACTGATTGGTTCCCTCTAAACCTGACAATACAGCTGCTTGACAGATATCTACTGCGTTTTTGCTGTATCTGACCAACTTTTATAAACACATGCAATCCCCAACCCACTTGTCATTTGAGGGTGGCCAATCAGGTGCCAGGGGTGTCACCTCGGCTACTCCTCTGACTCCACCCCTGGGTGCAAAACCTACCTGCTGCAGCTTTATCCACAAAGTGCAGTTCATTGTAGAAGTTGGCCAGTTCGGGGTACTTCTCCTTCACAATAAGAGCGATGTAGTGAAGCAAAGTCATTTTTCTGTCTGTAGATTTGGTGTCCAGCAGCTGTGTGTGGAAAAAGAGGATATTAATGACATGATCTTCCAACAGCGAGAACAAAATGTTTTTTTCTTTCTTTTTTCTTTATTACTCACCAGATCAAGACTTTGTAGTTTAAAGCCATAAACACAGCCTCGTTTGCTGCTGTTCATGTAGTTTCCCAAAGCCAGGATGATCTAAAAGCAAACCACAAACAATCATTGTATGTACAACACAGTTAACACTAAGTTACAGTAACTGTGAAGTTAACACTTCTCAACCTCGAGCATCCTCTTCAGCTTCGGYGAGGACTTCACCGAGCCGGAGGCGGCGATGACTGCGTTGAGCTGCGGCGTGAGCATGTTGATGTTGTCGGCGAAGTTCCCCACGAACGTGATGATGTTCATCCTCTGGGTGAGCCTCTCGATCTTGCTGAAGAACAGCATGAAGCGATCCTCCTCGGCCAGCTGGTCCAGAGGACGCCGCTCRCGCTCGTACTGCCGGAGCACCTTCACCTCGCCGTCGGTGGGCAGGAAACGCATCAGGCACTCCACGAAGTCCACCGGCAAGGCCTTAAGGTCGAACCTGACGAAACACAGCACAAATCGGTGGATTTACACGGGGAAGCGGTTCGTTTCATTAGCGCTCGCGGCGGAGGCGTACTTCTCTATCGCCTTGCAGATCTCCTCCGTGGTCTTGTTGGCCTTTCGCAGGGTGATGGCCAAGTTCTTGGAGCGATTGGCGTCGAGAAGCGTGACTTTGTTTGCTGCTTTCTGGGCTACTTTGCTCTTTGTGCAGGAAAGATCCACAACCGGACCCTGTGCTCTGGTCTTAAAAAGCTCCTCGAACTTCTCCAGATCCAGAACCTGCACAAGAACAACTGTTTACTCTGTTGGTCCAGACTTCCTAGGACTTCAAACTTCCTTATTTTCTGTCTCAGACCGGAGATTACAAACAATGCTGTTTATCCTTAAGTCCTCCTCAAATTTGGTCAATATGATTTAAAAGCACATTTTCAGATTTTTAACATTTTAAGATACATTTTATTTACCTGGATCATCCTGATATCATGAATGGTTCCAGAGATATGCCTGAAATTTGTCTTTCTAATCAAGATAACTCATTGATATTTGGTCTGAATCCTATTTTCTGGTTATTCTAATGAGGAATTTTTGATGTCATTTTAAAAAAGAAATCTCAAACAATATTTGAATATTAAGATTTATCAGCCGGAAAAAAAAAAAAAAGCTTTGCTCACAGGACAAATCACAAAAATTTAAGGCTTTTTTGCCCAAAGTCGTGTTTTTTGTAGCTACTGCTCAAAAAAGGGCTTCAAAAAAATTTCTCTAAATTTATATTTCAGATATCTAATTTAAATGACCCATAGATATGGTACTTATAAAATATACTTTGAWAAAATGTTGCAAACAGTTTAATCACAATACTACAGCTGTCATATTTGTCCACATACAGCTTTGTGACTTAATCCTTTGTTTGATGTGTCACATGTAATCATCTCTACATAATAATAATAATAGTTTAGAGAAAATCRTCTTGCTTCCTCTGAAACCTCGCAAAGGCACAAGAGAAGTGTTTTTTTTAAGCAAGCATCTGCGTTATAAAGGCGAACGTACCTCCAGCACGCGCTCATCGTCAATCTCGTTAAAAACTGTGCCGTTGATCTGATTGGGCTTCAGGGCCGTCCAGTTAAAAACAGGCAAGCGGAACTTGGTCTTGATGGGCTTCTTGATCCTGATAGCTGTTGAGAACAGTTCAAACAAAATTAAACAATGCTGGAAAATCTAAAAAAAWAAAAAWAAAAACGTTGGAGAAAAATAAACAGTTTGCTCTCACCGGACAGGCCGACGCTCAGGATGACCGAGGGAGAAGCGTCTGGCAGAGGAGGAGCGGGAGGAGGAGGAGGAGGTGGGGCTGGGGCAGCTGTGAAGAAGGTAAGAGGATTTTTCTTAATCGTGCTAAAAACTTTTAAAACTTAATCATCTAACTAAATAAAGTCAGGACGTGAGGTTGAAACAGCTTTTCTGTTCGCCCAAGCGTGCAGGAAACAGTTTTTTTATTGGTTTCCATTTCCTGTCTGGGTCAGACGAGCTGTGCTCTCACCCATCACCTCACTTGGCATGASGGAGCGCTCAGTGGAACTGAGACTAGCCCCTCTCTGTGAGTCCAACATCAAATAAAACAACAAAACACCAACGTGTCATCAGAGCTAACCCCTCTGAGTCAGGGTGCATCACCTGAAGCAGACGGCAGAGGAGGGGGAGGCGGAGGCGGCGGCGGAGGAGGCGGAGGAGCTTCACTCGCCGGCGGCAAGCCGGTGTCGGCTCCTCCGAACTCCGCCAGCCCGGCCGTCGAACCCAACTGGCCGACGTTCCCCAGGGGGATCCCGAGTCGGCCGCCGATGCCCAGCGGCTCGATGGTGATGTCGCCGTCGGGCCTCTTGTGCAGGCGGATGGTGCCCTGCTGCTCCAGCTCCAGGAGCCGCTTCTCGATGTTGAAGTGCCTCTGGAAGGCGGCGTCCTTCTCCTTGATCATCCTCCTCAGGGTGTTGACCTGGGTGTTGGTCGACTCGTACGTCTCCTGCGCGGTCACCAGGAGGCGGCAGAGAGCGCAAAAGTGATGACTCCACAAGTTTTTAGAGAAACATCCTGTTTGCTCCTGACCTCATTTTTCTATCACAGCAGATTTAGCAGTGTGCATGCGAATCTGATCTTATTTATTTTTTGCAGCGGAATCATACTGACCCGAACGGCTTGCAGGTCCTTATCTTTCTGGAGGAGCAGCTTCTCCAGGTCGGCAACTTTCATCATTGTTTCATTCTCAACCTCCAGCAGCCTCTCTGTCACCTGGGGAAGAAAAAAGCAAAAGTGATGAGCGGGCATTTGCCCCCCCTGCTGCCCTCCCTCCCTCTGTCTTCACTGCATAATCAATAAGAAATAAGATCCAGGCAGCAGCATGATGCAGCAGGAACAAAGCTCAGTTTTTAGTTTTTGTTTGCACCATGTTACACATGTTGCTCAGGAATTCAGAGAGAATCTTCCCGCTGATCCCCCCCATCATTCCTGACCCCTGAGAGCAGCAGAGTTTGTTATGAAATTCCTCATATGATGTCAGGGGCTGCCTACGACCTTTCCATGTGAAGGAGGCCCTTCTGCGCGGCAGCGTGGGACGCACAAAGAAGAATGGCCCTGCAACAATAATAATAATACTGTTCCCCGTGCAGTATTTTCCCAGCATTCCTCCCCGTTATTATCCCGGGCCACTTGTGAAAAGCAAACAGAGCGCGTTTCWAATTGCCACGTTAGAAACAGACGGGCTAAGCGCTTCCACAACAGTCACACAAGCAGCGCAGCGTTGGTGGTCTAGACTGGGTGGTGCGCTCACGTGGGACAGGTGCTCCTCCAGCTCCTCCACCTTCTCCAGCGCCGCGTTCTTCGTCTCCGCGTCTTCCAGGAGGCCGCCCACATCAAAGACGTTATCCAGGTAGGCCTGGATCTGCACCGACAGCTTGTCACTCTCTGTGTGTTTACATTTCTGACAGGAGAAAAGACAAGTTCGGATTTATTGACGCGTTACCATCGCCTCACGTCTCTGCGTCGACCAGAAAGCTGTTTTCTTTACCTCCAGATAGTCATCGAGGCCCAGCTTGGTGAACTCATACTGCAAATGGACTCTGAAGTTCATGTCTTCGACTGAGTGGACCACAATGTTGATGAACTGCATGCAAGCGACCTGGACCAGAAAAAACAAACAGAGCGAGACCTCGTTCATACCTGGGGTTAATTCATGATCTGTATCTGCGTAATCACATGTAATCCATGCAGCTTTGCCTTTACACCTGGTGGTAAAAAGTGGTTTTATTCGTGCAGATATCCAGATACAAAGCAGATGTTAACAGCATATAGAATGTAGTATATATGTAAGTATCAGATCCAACAAAAAGTATCTTTTCTGTCAGACACTCAACAAAATATGATATATCTACAGTATATATAAAGAAAAGCTCATCCTACCATGAAGTCAATGTTTCCCTCCTCACAGCGGAAATAYTCCATGAGTCTCTCAAAGCGATGCTTCTCTTTACAAACCTGAAACAAAAAGGAAAAGAGGAAATATGTTTTTGCTTCTTTTGATCTACGCTGGTACAAACAAAACATCTAAAACAGAAAAACGGGGCCAAAATTAGACGTTTTACTGTCCTTTTTCTGCATCAGAATGTAATAACTAATACGACAAATGTTACATTATCCTGGAACGCAATATAGTATTTTGTCATGGATCCATTTTTGAAGTTGTGTGTTTTCTTGTACTTTTCCGCTTCATTTCTTTGATATCTTAAAATAAAAGTTTCTTTAAAAAGGTGAAAGGTTTTTCATTGCTGAGATGTWGGTTTATTTTACTCTGAAAACAAAACTTGAAAGGACTTCCTGTTCTACCAAACAACACACTAAGGAGCACTAAGGCGATGCTTCACACGCTTTAGCATCTTTAGCATTTTAAGCTAATGTTTTGGTTAATTTAGCTTTAAGACGTTGCAGCATGTGATTTTTACATTTCAGCTATTTTTTTGTTTTGSAACTTTAGCTTTAGGCTAGCTTTTTGCTGTCTTTTTCTCCAGTGTTTTAGTAGAGTTCTGCACTTTCCCATTTTAACAACTCAGTTTTAGTTTCTTCAGTCATTCAGTGCTCAACAGTCACTTCATTTTCACAGAACATTTTATTTCTCTACTATAAAGTAGATAAAGCTGTTTCAGTGTCAGTCTCAATTTATTGTACGCTGCATAGAATGAGTTATATTGAGTGAATTAATGTTCTTTGTGTCCTTAAAACACCTTGCAACAGTATTTACATTTAAAACATTACTGCTGCAGTTCAAATGCAGCCGTGGTGTTTTGACGAGACCTGTCACCTTGCATTAATGCATCGTTTACTAAAATAACACTGCAGAATAATTAGCATGTTTGCACTGGTGGCTTGATTAGCTGCTGCGTCTCTCTGGGGATTCGGGCCCAAATTATCCTCTTCCGGAGTTTAGAAGACTGAGCAGCCAGAAACTGAGAGGTGAGGAGAACCTCTAAGGTCCACTGGTTCCCACCGGGGAACCGATCCTTATCATTGTTCAAGGTTGACTCACATCTGGTGTCTTAATGAGACTTAAAACCACCGGCAGGCYACCACCAAGTTATGCTTACAGCCAAGGGAGGTATGAAACTTAACCTTAGTTCTTCTACACRGAGACTTTGGCTTTCAGGCCACTTCTGAACAAAAGTTGTGGCAATTTAGTAAAAAAGGGGAGTTAATTTCAACATTATGCTGAACTGTAGCACTGAATGAGCTTTCTGGAAGGCAGAAACTGAGGTTTTAATGCTAAAAAAGGGAGAAAAACTGGGTAAAACGTTAGCTAGAAGCAGTAAAAGGCTAGCCAAAACCTAAAAGTAGCATGAAAACGTAAATAAAGCAACTTGCAACAATAATGATTTTAAAGGAATGGAGGATATCTTGATGTATTTTTATGCGAGAAAACATCTAAATAAAGTTTTAAAGTGTAAAAGTTACAAAAACCAAAAAGTAACAGCGCTCAACTCTTGAATGAGATGAATGTTTTGATATTTGAAAGTCTAAAATAGCCCACAGCCTGCAGAGGTAATTACAGTGTGAATATAGTGAATATAGTGAATGCTAAAAGCGTATCATAATTCTGAGAAAGTTGCTTTGGGCACCTCCTTGAAGTTGTCGAACGCTGACAGGATGATCTCGTGGCCTCCCCGGACCAGACAGACAGCAGCAAGCAGCTCGAGGACCAAGGCTTTTGTCCTGAAAGTACAGGAGAAGCTGCTCATTACAACCCAGCTAAACCCAGCTTAACTGCAAACAAGTAACGTGTGTGAAGCTATTTGGAAAATCCTGCAAATATCAACATTCAGTGTGTAAAGGCATAACCCATAGAATTMTTTTTTTTCTTTTTTTGCTTTGTAAGTGTCAGTACTCCCAGCCTTCATTACAGAGCGAGGTTTACCACTAATCTCTCTTTAGTAAACATTCCTCTCACAGCCTGCGCACACGCCTCTGATCCTCGACTTCAGAGAGAAGCCGAGCCCCGTGAAGAAAGGCGAACGTATCATATGAACCGGCTGCAGGGTTTCCCCTATTGTTAGACCCCGGTGCTGAGTCTGTGGTGGTGGGGTGGGGTGGGTGCACACTGCTTACCTCGGGTTCTTATTGTTCAGACTCAGGGCAATTTCATTGACGGCGTGCGCATGAGACATGACCATATTGAAGCCGTACTGCATGAGGAGACAGAGAGAGAGCAGGATGTGGTCACAGGACACAGTGTATATATTCAGCACAGGAAACGCATCATCTTATCTGCGTGGAGCTGTGCACAGTGCAGTTAAAGTGTAGGTGTAAGGACTCAGTACCTGGTAGTTCATGATGGCTCGCAGACACATGATGCACACGTGCACGTCATCTTTTTGACTCACGAGCCGCGAGTTCTTGATGGTTTTGCTGTTTGAAATGGTTCCATAGCTGCAACAGATGGCAGAAGTTGAATATAACCCTCAAATATTAAGCTGTTCTGTTTTTTCTCTCTCTCTTTTCCTGTTTTTTATCTGACTTTCTTATGACTCGAGTTAAAAGTGAGTCTCACAAGAAAATGAGAAAGAGAGAAAATTACAGAGAGCGAGAACTAACAGAAAAAAACAACAACTCTTTTTGAGGTTGCAGATGCATCATGGGAAACGCCTGGTTTCCTGGCGGCTGTCATCAAACCAAAATGTGCACACACACACGCACACACACTGTTGTTATGTAACAGATCTGAACAGCCATCCTGTGCACACATTATTCCTTTTCCTATGCAGCCTATAAATGGCCTGAACTGGGGGTTTTTTTGCACATTTTTATTAAATCACCACATTAAAAAGCCTAAAAGTTTATCTCGTTTGTCTTTTCTTTTTTTCCTAAAACATGTATTCAAATTATTTTTCATCAGACTTGGCATCGAACAGCCCTGACTTCTGTGAACTTCTAACATCTGGCTGCTGCTCACAGCTGGAGAYGGTGCAGATGCACATCTGGACAGATAAAGGAGGACCATTACCAAAGCATAAAAAAGGTTAAAGCTTGTGTTTGATCGAGTTTGCACGGAGAACAACCAAAATCTGCCAACGCCAAAACCTGACACAAAGTTACCCCAAACTTTTCTGCATGCTAATATGTGTTTATGGCATTCAAAGGAAGCAGAGCGAGCTGGTAACGGGGGTGG